ACAGTTGGCCAGAGGAGGCTGTGGCTGCCCCATCCCTGGCAGTGTCAAAGGCCGGGTGGGATGGGGCTTGGAGCAGCCTGCTCTAGGGGAAGGTGTCCCTGCCTGTGGCAGGGGTTGGAGCTGGAGGAGCTTTAAGTTCCCTTTCAACCCAAACGAGTCTGAGATTCTAGGACTCTGTAATCTGGAGCAGGGCACGACCAAGAGCCCCTCAGAAAGGTCTGGAGTTTGTATCGGTGTCCCAGCCAAGGCGCTGCGCTTTTTGACGCTGCATGAGGGTCGATGGGCTTCTCCTGGTCCTCTTCAACAAATCCCCACCAAGTGTTTGGGAGGAAGCTGGCTCAGGTGGAAAACGATCTCCCGCAGCCGCGGGAGGGCAGCAGCTCCCGTAAGCAGAGCGGGGCTGGGTGGAGAAGAAAAGAGGCACCAAAACAACTTTTAAAGCCCAGCTCCTGGGGCAGAGTCCCCAGCTCCGTCTCACCCTCCCAAACCACCATCCCCTCTCGCATGGGGCGAATGTGGGGCTGCGGTTCTCATACAGCACCTTCAGGTCACAACCTCCAGCATCATCAGGCACACGCACCAGCTCGTTTTCCGATGCCCGACGTTCCTGTGTGCTGGGTCATCCTGCCCCAGGGTTGGGTCGTTACTGTCCCCAACCCGACACCTCGTGGGTGCATCCCAGGGCTCCAGAGAAACAGCCCTTCTTTCCCATTTGCATCCCAGCTCCCCGAGTGCCTCAGTTTCCCCATCTCTGAGTTGGACCTGCAGCAGAACAACGGGTTTATCAAACCCCTCCAGGAGGCACCCACAAGCAGCTCTGGTGTTTCAGGGGGGACAATTCCTGTGCAGGTCCCTCTACTTGCTCAGTAGAGGAGGAATTTCTGAGGACACAATACAAGTGAGAAGAAAATGAGGTCCAAATCATCTGACCTTAACCTGAACTTCCCTCCCTTGGTGATGTCCAAGTTTACACCCAAACTACTGGTGTCACCAGCTTCGGTTCTTGGCTGGATCTCACCCAGCTCCCGGTTGTTTGAGCAGAAATACTCCTATTTGCAGCAGTGAGGAGCTGGGAACCCTCACCTTGCTCTATCTCCCGTTAAACCCTGGGGCTCCGACGCTTTCCTGCAAGAGTTAATGAAAGGAAGGAGCGAGCAAGATTTTGCAAGGAATTAAACCCCGGCAAAAGAGCCTATGGGAAAGAGCCTGTGACCAGCCCCAGGGCTGTAGGTCACCAGCGCTGTGTGCGCTCACTGCCAGCGTTTATTAGGTCCTTGACGGAGCTGAGAGAGCAAAGCAAAGCGAAGCAAAGCGAAGCATGAGGAGCCGCCGGCAGCGCGGGCGGGGGCACAAACCGGCTCCGAAGTGAGTGACGAGCCAGCGCCGCTTCCTCCGGCCGGCCCCGCTCGCCGTGTGTCACACACCCAGACCCATGATTCATCTCCTGGGCTGCTCAAAGCCTCCCGAGCTGCTCCCCATCGCTCACGGTGGGGCCGGTCCACGCAGCCCCCCACGCTCGGCGCTTGGAGGACGAGATGGGAAAGCTGAGCGTGGCTCTCGGGATCATCGCGCTCTGCGCTGCGGGAGCCTGGGGTAGGTTCGGTAGCGCTGCCGCTTGCTTCAAGCCGGGTCATTCAGTGACCGTGTTGCCTCTTATTCCCCCGAATCCCAGGACCTTTTCATTGGGAAATCGCTCCGAGGGGGAAGCGGGCAGCCTGAGGCTGCTCAAGCCGGTTGGGGTTTGGATGGGTCGGGGCCAGGCGGGTTTCCCAAAGGTGTTGTAGGATCAAAACACGGTTTGGTGAGTTATTTCCACGCTGGGTGCGGCAAGTTTCTGCTCTGTACCTACGCTGTGCTTGGCTCCGGGTAAGGGTTTGTAATGGGAGCACCAGGGTGTGACTTGGGCTCCGTCCTTCCTAAACAGACAATGCAAGGGGAGAGTTTGCAGGGCAGGTTAGGCGCCGTGTCCGTGTTGGTTTAAGGGCATGGGGTGCCTTTATGTCTTGTGTTCTTTTTCTTCGTGCTATTCTGGTGCTTTTTACAACTGATTTTTAGGATCAGGTGATTTCAGACAAAGGTAGTTTGTAGTTTTAACAACATTTCCAACGTCTGAAGCGTGGAGAAGAGCTGAGAAAAGCATTTTCTCTCCTCCCCAGGTGTGTTTCCAGGGCACAAAGTAAATCCTGCAACTGTAAAATAGTGTTTTCAGCTCCTGATTTATAAATGAGTCCCTTTGTTTTCGAGGCCAGACTCGAGGGGGTTTGGGGCAACATTGTTCTGGCTAAAGAATTCCAGACTTTGGTGAATTCCCAGGAACAGCCTAAGGCTCTGATCTGCTGCTGGAGTGAGCTGTCATCAGAACAGGACATAGGATAACAACCTATTATGGTTCTAGAGGTGCAGTCTGGGGCTGTGCAGGTGATCTCTCTGGTCTTGTGCATCAGTGCCTGTAACAAGCTCAGCTCAGTTTGGACCATTCCTTCCTCGGGATGATGCTTGCAGACAGGGAGAGGTTCAGAGAAAAGCCACAGCCCCAGGATGGCGTGGGCAGAGCAGCCAAAAAAGCCTAAATCCTTATCGCTGAGTCAAGCAGAAGGGCCAGAGAGGATGTCAGGATGGTTTGTATCTTTATCGAGCTCTCTGAATGATGATTATCAAGTTTGCTGTGTGCACATTCTTGCTCAAATTGGCAGAGGGAGGAAAAACAGAGCATGTGGCTGGCTCATGTGGTACATCGAGGAGGTTACTTGGAGTGCAGCTTGGCGGCTGAGTAAGCTTCTCCAGCCAGGGAAGGGTGATGCTGAGCCACAGATGTCTGGGGGGTATTTCAAGTGCATCATTTCACATCGCTGCCCAGTGGTTCCCATCCTGCCCAGTTCATCTCCCATTTCCCTATATTTTATGTGCTAGGATTTCTTTTTGTTTACAAAGCCTGAGTCTTTAGGATCAGATCGTTATAAGAGACCAACTGCTTTTGTAGTACTTGGGGTTATGAGTTTTTATGGCTGGAAAAACAAATCCCCCCAAATGAAAAGCTGTGCTGGGGTCTTGTAACCTGCTCACAGCTTGAGAAGCACTGCTTGGGAAGCTCCAGGACCAAACCTGGAGGCGGCTCAAGCTGCAGCATCCTCCTCCTCTCTCCTTCCACCTGTGCTGTTGCTCCTACATCACCGCAGGTCCCCATTTCCCACTTGCCCCACACAGGCAGAGCTGGAAATGCCAAAATAGAGACACTTCCCCACAGTGAGAGGCTGAGGCTGCCTGCGCACAGCAGGAACAGCCACATCTGGATGGTAAGAACCGTGCTGTGCTAACACCACTGCCACGGGGGGATTTTGGCCCCTTCCCAGAGGCCAGATTCCCAGGTTGGGAAGGGTCCTCCATCCCTGGGCACATGTCTCAGCCATGGGGCAACGGAGACATGGGGACCAGCGGTCTGCATGAGCCTGGGGTAGACAACCCCACAGCCCAAGGGGGCAGGAAGTGACCCCCTGGTCAAAGCCATCCCTGCAGCAGTGACATGGTGACACAATGTGACTGCAGCCTCGGGCAAGGCAGCATCCCTCCTGCAGGGACCCTCTGTGCTGCAGCCCCATCTAAGCCCCTGTGCAGCTCCCCAGCCCCATGGGGCCGCTGCTCTGCCTCGGGGGACAGCCCAGCTTGTGGCCCTCATTCCAGAAAACTGGGGTTAGATCCTCAGCATGGGGGGGGACACACCAGACCAAGGACCCCTGCGCTGTGGGGTGGAAAGGAAACCGCTGGTCCAGCGGCTGCACGCAGGCAGGAGGTAATTGGTACCAAATGCTGGGGAGCAGATGAGCTCTTCAGCCCAAAGGGACAGTCCTGGGGCTCATTATCCCAGAGCTCAGGTTTCACAGCATGAGGAGGAGAAGCGGAGGCAGACACAAGCCTGGAAATCCTCCACATCGTGTTTCAGCCCAGCCTGGTCTCACCAAGACCAGGGTTAACACTGCACAGGGGAAACTGAGGCACACAGCAGCTGAGGGACTCGGCTCAAGTCATAGGGGAAACCTGCCTGGGACAGGATTTGGACCAGTGCATCTCATCCTAGGCCAAGCTCAAACCCACCCCACCCCGAGGGAACAAACCCCACAGTGGCAGTAAGTAGTGTGGACCAGGAGCAATGCTGGTGATACTGGGTGCTACAACCCTGCCCCTGACACAGCCGCTACAGGGAGGGATGTAATGGAAAGCAAGGAAGCTCCTGGCACAGGGCATCTCTACCTGGCACCTCAGCTCCTATCCCATGGTGCTGGTCCAGGTCCCAAAGCATCAGGGCTCCCCAGGGACCTGCAGTTCCGGTGCTGTCCCCGCTGTTGGGGTGCGTGTCTTTGGGGTTAATCCTCTGAGCCTGTCCCCGAGGGCTGCCAGGGCAATGCCAGGGCACAGCCCAAATCCAAGGCACATGTCCCAGTGCTGGGCTGCAGCCACCAGCGCTTGGCAAGGCAGGAGGGATTCCACACTGAGCAGGAGCTGGCAATGCTGAGAGCCCTGTGCCTTACCCCCACCCAGCCCCAGCTTGACATCCTGTAAGCCCAAGGATGTGATACTGCTGCTGATACATCCCTCCGTGTCCTTGGCACACCAGAGATCAGCACGTTGCTCTTTTAGGCAATACTAAATGTAAAATCCTGCCCATCCTCACATGCTGCAGCTGGGATTTTTGTGTGTGGAGAGTTCTGGGAGCAGACACCACCCCAAAGCTGATGCTGAGCTGGGCCGTTGGGGTTTAGCCTTTAGTTTAGTGTGTGGGGACAAGCAGGGAGGTGGCAGAGGTCTCATGGGCCACAGTGGCCATGGGGCACATCCACAAGCAGCCACTGGCCTTGGGGACAGTCACAGCGTGTCCAGCTCAGCCTGTGACACCACCTCACACAGATACACACAAGTGCAACACGTGTGCACACACATATGAACACACGTATGAGCACACGCACACGTATGAACACACATATGAACACACGCATGCCCAGGCTGTTTGCCAACGGGCATGAGCACACGGTGCCGTCACTGTGGCTCTGCCCAAAGACCTGACGACATCGTTTCACCATTTCCTCTCTGCTTTGTGTTGCATTTCCTGTGCTCACAAATGCTGGGAGAGCCCTGGGCAGGGACAGGAGGACACGGGGCAAAGGGGACACCCCAGCACTCGTTCATTGCTGCATGGTCCTGGGCTCCCCACGCTGCAGCATTGCCCTAACCAAGCCCTAAGACTCTGCTTGTGCCCCGGGAGGAAGCGTGATGCCGCCGCAGCAACGTCAGCCTTTGGCCGAGGTGGTCCTGCCTCTGCCGTGACAGGCACTGGAGCCACCCTGGGGCTCCTGCTGGCATTTGGGGTCCCTTCAATCCCCCACACAGACCCGCTGGTCTCTGACCTGCACAAATGGTGCCAGCATCGCCCAAAGTCCCCACTGCTGCTTCCACCAACAGAGCCCAACCTTTGCCCGGGGTATCGGCACCACCACAACCCACCACCAGCACGTTCCTGGACTCCTGCCCTTTTCCTCCCCTCATTTCCTGCATTTGAACCTGGGCCAAGACCAGCTGCTGAGTTTAATGTGTGCACAAGAAAGCACCGACCACACTGGGTCAGGGGCGGTGGGAAAAGGCAGCAGTTCCCCAGCCGCTGGCAGAGCTGCGGGTACCACATTGTGCCCCTGGGAATTCACCCCTGTGCCCCAAAACATCTGCAGGGAGGCACAAAGGGAGATGTCCCCCACTGCAACACATGTGATGCTGAAAGGATGGATGGGGGGGGACCCTTTAAGGAGCCAGCAGGTGGGAAACGATGCTCAGTCCCAGGCAGGATGAAGCCCAGTGGGTACCAGGCTGGGGAGGTGGTTATAAAAGGAGCATGGAGGCAGCCCCTGGGATTTGGGGCTGGGAAAGGGATTAGAGCAGAGGCCTGGTGGGATGGGGGCTGTAGAGTCATGAAGCTGTTGGCTGAGCACTGACACCAGCACACGTGTGGGTGCAGGTTGTAACCACTCTCTGTTTTCCCATTTCAGGGGGTAACATCTGCACCACCCGCGGGGTGAACTCCTGCAAGCAGTGCCTGGCCGTGAGCCCCCTCTGTGCCTGGTGCTCCGCCGAGGTAAGACAGGGATGTGGAGGAAGGGATGAGCCTTTGGGCTGCGGGATGGGTGCTGGTCCCTGTGTTACAGCCACAAGCTTGGTCTCCATCTGTTCCCACCGTGCCTAAATGTGTTTATTGGTTGCATCTGGCTCAGACCACAGCTTGGGACGCACATCGCCAGGCTTGGGCTGCCCATTCCTGCCTTGTCCTGAAAACCTGCCCCTTATCTGGGTGCATTGGCAGGAGCTACATGGAGCTGGCCGGGAAATGCTGATGTTCCCACTGGAAATTCACTTTGTCTGTTAGAAAAGTACATTTAAAACTCAGCTTACTTTTTGTTTGCTTCTTGAAAACCCACTGTAAAGCACAGGCTAAAGGAGCTTAGTTGTATGAAGGGCTGGAAAAGGAAAGAAGCCTGGAGGGAAGAAGGAAAATTACTGATTAGAAGCTAGGGTTTGGGTTTAAAAGAAGGGGAAATGGAAGACAAGGTGCCTGGTTTTGGTTTTTGGTTTTGGGGCTAAAGAGCATGTGAGAGCTGAGTTGTGGCTCTAAAATCAGCCTGTTTAGGTAGGTGAGAGCCTGGATGATTCGCCACGTTCCCTTCCAAAAATGCTGCCCTGGGGTTAGTCCACCGGAACATAAGAGGAGGGAGTTTCCCAACTGGATGGAGCAGCAGCCCCAGGGCAGGGGAGAGGCTGGGACGGGGAGAGGTGACGAAACCTCCTCCTTTGGCGAAGCTTTTCTTCCTTTCTGCTTCTCCATCCATGAAACCCGGCTTCCTCCAGCTGAGATTGTGCCACCGGGACCCGGGGAAAAGCGATCAAAGCTGGAAAACGCTGTTGGATTGTTCCTGCATGGCTCCATGCTTTGGGCTCAGGGCGCATGTGGAGGGGACGCCTCTGCCCATGGGATGCTGTGCCCATGGGATCTTGGGGTGAATAAAGATGCTTGTGCCCCATCTTATCTCCAGCAAGGAGTGGCTCAGAGCATGATAAGGAGCCTCACTCCCTGCTCCAGGGGGGGAACTTCTGCCCGGGCTGGGCTTGTTCCTTCCAGCCGCTGCTCCTGGGCCGTGCCGTGACTCTGCAGTGGGAGCTGTGGTGGTTGGGGCTTGGTTTTCCTCCACATCAGCAAAGGTTCCCAAAAAAGGAAATCTTTCCATTGCTGCTCATGGACAGACGTGACAAGCAGCGAGGGAGCCGCCAGCAGCCGGCCCCTGAGAGCCAGGCTCTGCTCAGCCGCGTTGCCTCCAACATCTGGACCACATTGGCTGAATTTAGCACATGAGGGTTTCTTGTGCGGGTTTGTTTAATTTCCCTGGGGTGGGGAAGGTCTCTGATACTGTTCCCACCCCATCCCCCCTTTGTTTTTAAAGGGAAAGTGTCCCTATTGGTGCTCCTTCTGCTCCTTTCCCACCCACACTGCCTTCCCAAGCAGCCGTTATCAGTTACTCCTGCTCCATCCTGCCTTTGGACAGGAGAAGGATTTCATTGCGGTTTCTTGAGATCACTGATGCAGAGAGAATTGAGTTTTATTTAGTGTTCAGAAAGTTTGACCACTTTTAACAACAGATAGATGTGCCCATCCACTCTCTTTTCCTTTGGGAAATGCCAACCGAGCTGTAACACTGAGATGTGGTTTTAAAATCATTTTGGAGATTATTGGGACACATCTTCCAGTGTCTTGTCCCCTCTGGTTGCCTTGGAGGAAAGGTGGAGGCAAAGGTGGACCAGGGTTTTGTTTTAGAGAAGCTACTGGGAGGTTTTAGCTTAATCTGCTGTGGCACCTCTGCTTTGGGTCCTCTCCTGCAGAGACGCTGATGCTGTATGTGGTTGCCTTGGACATGAAAATGGAGATGCCTTGGGGATGCAGGAATTCCCACAGCCTCCCTGCCCAGCAGGGAGGGAGCTTGGGAACGGAGCTGGCTCTGCCAGCACCCTGCCTGATCCTGCCCTCACTCACAAGGGATGCAGGCAGCAATCCATCATCAGCTTTCCCATCCTGGAGGGAGCTTGAGCAGATGCTGAAATCTTCTTCCCTGCAGTGGGATGGGATGCCCAAAGCAGGAGCTGGAGCTGGGGAGCACCTCAGCCAAGGACCACTGGATCACTGGTGAGGGAGGGGTGGGAACACGTCCCCCATAGCATCTCTGTGACGGGGAGCTGGTGCTGTCAGGGCTGTGCTGATGGGGACGTGGGGTTTGCAGGGTACCAGTGGGCAAAGTCCCTGCACTGTGGGGGTTGTCACCAGCAAGCCAGGGCTGCCTCTGGTTGCTCCTACCTGGGGCTGTGCCCAAGGCTGCAGAGACTGGGGTAAAGAATAGATAGGGGACTGCAAGGTCCTTGTGGCCAAATGCCCCTTTAGGGTTCAGTAGCTTTTACCTTTGCTTTTTGCAGTGGTTTTGTTGCTGGGGAGGCTCCTGTGAGTCCTGGGTCAATCGTAATATTTAGGGCTCCAGGGGAAGGGGTTAAATAGTGTCTCCATGGGAATCTCTAAGCTGGAATGAGGCTGTTAATCCCATAAGGTGCTGTGTGGCCTTTGAGGTCCTGGGAGTTTCCCAGGATCTCCAGATATCACCCAAGAGCCCAGCAATACAGTCACAAGCCTGTGTGCCCAGCCTGCTCTGCACCCGCATGCTTTTCCAGTGATTTCTCCACCTGGGACAGGAATGTAGGTGGTGATTGATGGGATGTGTGTAAACCAGGCACCTCTTCCCGCAGCAGGGAGCCCTGTGGGGTTGGGTGGGTTCAAGGCAGCTACATTAGAGGGATGAGTTGTGCTCTTCTCCGGGAGCGCACTGTCCAGGCAGTGAGGGTGGGAGCAGGAGGCTGCAGGAACACGCCTGCTGATGTATTTGCTGATGCATTTTCTGGCTATCACTTCACACTGTTTCCAGAGGGCTCTCGGCCAGTATAAAACACACACAAGCGTTCCAGGGTTCAGGCAGCCTCGGATGATGTCCTGGATGGGGAACCTCGCCAGCGCTGGGAGGCTGCAGCGCTGGGATCCAGCTGAACCAGCCCCAGCAGGACTTGTGCCACCTCCCTTTACTACAAGGAAAGGCTGCGCTGGTCATCTGCTGTGGGGCTTTGAGTGCAGAACAGTTTGAGCTGTGGCGGGGAGATGAAGAAACTCTTTGGAGGGGAGGGAGGCTCTTGGCAGCATCGAGCTGGGAAAGAAATTCCTCCCATATCTGTCTCCATGAGAAGCCAAAGCGACCGGAGCCCTTCTGAATGTGCCGTGATAAGGGCGAGGAGCCGGGAGCTTTCTAGGAAAGAGGGACATGGCCGGAGCCCCACTGTGACTCCACACTTCGTGCTTCCGGCCCCTGATGGGCATTTGGTGGCTTCTCCCGCAGCCCTTCTGCTCTTCCACTCCTTTTTTGGTTCTCCTCTCTCCCGGCTGGCTCCATCCGGCAGGAAGCTGGAGAGCTCGAGATAAGCCTGCAGTGTTCTCGCACAGGAACGCAGCAGCACCCCATGCGATGGGCTCCCCGCAGCAGCCCTCATCCCTGCTGGCAGTGGGGTTTCTAAGGGCACAGAAAATGAAAGGGGGAGAAGGTGGCTCGTCTTTTGCCAGAGTTGAGGCTGTAACAGAAGTCCCAGTGAGGGAAATTCCTCATTCCCAGCCTGCCATGTTCGCATCCCACCTCACCCTCTTCTGACCACCCCACATAAAGGAGCTTTCCTTTTAGCTTGGCTAAAACCAAACCTGTGGCTCCAGCTGCCAGGAGAGGGGGGTGGGTTTGGGATCTGTTATCCCTTGCTCCTTGGCAGGGCTTGCTGAGCTCTACCGGAGCACAGCAGGCCAAAACCTGCTCTGAACCCCAGCAGGACTTGCTGACCCCTGATCCCCTCCGTCTGACATCTCCCTTCAGCAGAGGCATTGTGCCCCAAGAAGCCTCTTATCCTGGTCTTGCTTTAGGTGTGCTGAAGAAGGAGCTCTCTGGTGGAAAGGGAGGACCTCCTCCTCCTTCTCCTGGTAGAACCATGGGTGTTCCTGGGGGAACCTGGCTCCTGACCATGCGCCTCTCCCGCAGGTCTTGGCACAAGGCTCCCCTCGCTGTGACCTGCGCACCAACCTCCTGGAGAACGGCTGCGGGCACGACTACATCGAGTTCCCCACCAGCAGCGTGACCATCCTGGAGGACAGACCCCTCAGCGACAAGGGCTCGGGGAGCTCCATCACCACTCAGCTGAGCCCCCAGAGAATCCGGCTGAACCTGCGGCCGGGTGAGAGCCCCCAGACCGCTGCGGGAAGGGGACTAACTCAAAGGGCTCAAGCAGTGAGTGAGCCATTGCTGCCTCACTAACCAAGGCTGTCCTGTATCCATGGGGGGCAAGGCCAAGCTGGGAGCTGCACCAAACCCTCCAGGAACATCCCTGATGGGCAGCCGGGCTGTCTGCAAGCTGAACAGTTCTCTTGGCTCAACCCTGCTGTATCCCAAGGGGCAGGGGGGGATACAGCATCTTCAACAACACATGGTCTTATTTTATCAAGCCATTTAGACCTTGGCCACTGCTGCTGCACCCTAAATGCTTTGTGGCAGTCAGCGCATGTCTAACAAGCTGTGGAGCAGCTGGAAGGGTTGGAGTGCCAACAGGGCCCTGTGATTTCCCAGGCTTGTTTCAGCCAGGCAGGCTGGAGACAATTAACTGTGGTGGTTGTTTGCCAGCATGGAGGAGTTTCAAGTGATGCCAAGCAGGAGGCAGAACTAACAGGCATCACTCTCCCAAGGCCACAAAACCAGTTTGGGAACGTGGAGCAAGTGGTGCCATCACCGTGCTCTGTCCCACACGCAGCCCACTCCCTGCCATCCATTCACAGATGACTCTTCCAGTCTCAGCAGGAGCAATGTTGGTTCCTTGTGCTCATTAAAGCCCAGATATCAGTGGCTGATAGCGCAGGGCATCCTGTGCACATTCCTGGGCCTGACCGAGTCCTGACTCAGTATGTCCTGTATGTTCCTGTGTGTCTGAACTGTCCCCAGACGATGGGGACATGTAGCTGCTGTAAGTGGCCCTTGGTTGAAAGATATTTGGCAGGAAGCAGGTAGATGTGCTGCTCTGGAGAAGAACAGATGCAGTAAGCAGTGTTGAAGTCCCTGTTCCTTGGAAGCAGGAGAAGAAAACCCCAGCTTGATATCATCTCTGCCCAACCAAGGCTTGGCATGAGTCACTGGCCTCAACTCATGAATCAAGACCAAATGTTGAAGGGTTTAAGTAGGACAGGTCACAGCCCAAGACCCACAAGCTCAGTCCTGGTTTTAGCCCAACAAGGAGAAACAGATGCTCTCTGAGCACAAAGTTGGGCTCCCTGACTGTGTGGTGACTACGTGGAGGAGCTGGGAGGAGCCAGGAGAAGAGGGAGGAGACAGGGATGGGGAAGGCCCCGGGAGATGCTCAGAGCTCTTGGTTGCTCAGGGAAGTCCGAAGCAGCCGTGCAGTGCCCTGAAAATCCCTGTATCTGCTGCCCACAGGCTGAGTCTCTCACTCACTCCATCCAGCATGTGTTGGTCGGGCTATTCATGCAGCCTGGGGGGGTTCAGCTCTGAGCAGGAGGCTCTGCTCATGTCCTGGTTATGAGAGGTTGGAGAACAGGACCCGTAAGCACGTTTGCCATCTCCAAGGTGCACACCATAGCTCCGTGCGAGCACACTGCCCAAAGGACTTTGCCCCTTTGTGTCTAAGTGTGATGTTTTTCTCCCAGAAGCTTTAAACCATCTCCT